TTTTTAAATTAGCTGCCTATACTTACATCTAAGGATTTCTGATATCAAGAATTAATCAATAAGACACAACCTTATTATGCCACACTGTCAGTAAGATGTAACTCTATTATATGACACATATTTATGGTTCAAGACAGTTATTATTGTGTTAGCTATTGTCCTTTACTTTATTTGACAATATTAGGAAAAAGAGGTCAGTGTCCCTGATTAAATTAGTCAGGTATTGCATGTTTGCAAGTTTTCTTTCTTTCTTTTTTTTTAAGGGCAGGAGGGCACCTATAGGTCTCAAGTCAAACTCTCAAGCAAGATTAGTTGGCGAACAAAGGCTTGTATTGAAGGAAATGCTCAGCTAATGCCAGCCCAGGTATTGCATGTTTTAAAAATTCTTGTGGTACACTGGTTGAAAATTGCTGTCCTAAATGCTTACTTTTCATTTTTGTTTTTAATTCGGTACACATAAGTAACAAAGTGTGTTTTGGCATGAATAGGTGGACTACACTTTGAATGGATTACACAGTCTGTAAAATATCTCTGCGGTTTACACTTTGAATGGATTACACAGTCTGTAAAATATCTCTGCGGTTCTACAGTTTTTCAAATTTACCTAGTCTTTCCTCCTTTCTATAGTCATTGGGCATAAATATCAAACTACTAATTTCATAACAAGAAACTGCTTTCTTTAGCAATTGCAAAAGCATAATCTAAAAGGTATTAGTCTAAAAGCATTATTATTTACTGCATTAATTAATCTTTTATCTAATTAAATTAAAATAGCAAAATTTTATTTTCTACCCAAACACATCTTAATGCTCATTTGAAACTGGCTACATAAGATTTATTTTCAGCCATTTCTCACACTTAATTTTCTGGTGTCACTTTCTTTGCACATGCTGATAATGAAATGTGTAATAAATTATAGTTGATTACACATTTGAAGTTCTAACTTTATTTTACTATCAGGTAGTAAAATAATGCAACGGAAAATCTCTTGGGAGTAGTGGAGGAGTAGGGGTGGGAGAACATTTCATGAATTTCAGATACACTGGGTAAGGATTTAAATTTTTGCAACAACCTTTAATACCCAGATTTGGCCCAAACTAACATGGTGAAGAATTATAAAAAGAGGAGGCAAACTTAAGAATATACTTTCTTGTAGAACTAGAGGATATTATTCTAAGTGAAATAAGTCAGACAGAAATCTCTTCACACAGAAATAAGTCAAATCCACATATGATTTCACTTATATGTGGAATCTAAAGAACAAAATAAACAAACAAAACAAATTAATAGATACTGAGAACAAAATTATGGCTGCCAGATAATGGAGGGGGGCTGGGGAGCTGGATGAAGGAACTAAAACGTGCAAATTGGCAGTTATAAAATAGTCACAGGATGGAAAGTACAGCAGGGGAAATATAGGCAATAATACTGTAATAACTATGTATGGTGCTAAGTAGATACTACACTTACGGGGGCAGGGATCACTTTGTAAGTTATATAAATGTCTAACCATTATGCTGTACACCTGAAATATAAAATTGAATGTCAACTGTAACTGTAAAATTTTAAATGATTTCTTTTTTAAAAAGGAGCTGCCAGTCTCATTCTTTTTCAAATACTCCTGGCTTTTTCTCTAATGAAAATCAGACATTCTTATTTAAAATTGGTTATCTTCTTCCCATTATAAACAAAATAAAACAACCTTTCTTCTCACAAGACAATTTACAGATTTATAAGCTATCATCTCCCAACTCTATCATACATGAGTTCTTTCCCTACAGTAGTTCCAGAACTCATTAATTCACCATTTTTTTTTTTTAACTAGAGAAAGAATTCTTAAGAATGTGTATACAAATAAGTTTTAGGAACTTTATGAAGTGTCTTAAATCCAAATATTTTAAAATTTTGTGTGAATGAGCAATTATATGAGCAAATGTGCACAGTTGTCAGTACATTCTTATAGAGAACAATAATCCAACAAAGATGAAAAGAATCTTATTAAATTAAAAATGTGATCTGAATAGAAATATGATATAGGTTCTTCATTAACTAAATAGGTATATAAATATATTATGTATCATATAATCAAAAATGGCTTTAAAAATAAATCCCTTCACTTTGTAGATAATGAAATTGACATCTGGAGAGGTTAAGGAAAGTGTTTAGGCTGTTGATAACTAGAAAACAGAAGACAGAAAAATGCTGGCCTCCTATTTCCAGGCCCTCACATCTGCTACCCACACAGGGACACACAGGAGGATGTTAGTAAACATGCTACAGGCAGTCAACAATACCTCTGATAAGTATACAAATCTACCTCTGATAAGTATACAATTTCAGGATAAATCAAGTTATTAATTCTTTAAACATTTAATGGATCATAAGCTACATAAACATTTTTATTGAACATGTCTAAAAATACATATTCTCTTAGATACATTTTAGAACTTGCTTCCTTGCCAGTAGGCACAATCAATAATCTGTCAATCATCTAAAAGATGAGTGCTTGATCTTACTGTGATCAATAAAAGAAGGGCATACACTAAACCTGGAAGAGACAGAGGAAGTTTAGGAGACAGAAGGCTTCAAGGAGGCACTTAACCATATTTCTTTCTGAGGCAATTACACTGAAAGTCCACAATACAAAGTTAATTAGTTGAGTGGATCTTTCAGTAACTGTTGAAGCTGCTTAGAAATTTTAAGAAAAACCTCATTTCCAAATTTTCCCTTGTTTATTCACACTAAAAACAGCAAGAGCAAAAACCAAAGAAGATAATGTATAGTAAAAAGAATTTTTATAGTAAGTAATTAAGTGAGAAAGCTGGGGGGAAAAGTCTTATTTATGGTGTCAGTTAAGATGGGTATGAATCCAAAATTGGTTTTTAATTTTTTTCAAAATAATTATAAAACTGAAAGTCAAAATTAAGAATCCATGGAACACTTCCTTTTTCTCCCTCCACTCCCCACCTTGACTTCTGAAATACAGTGCAACTTTCTACCATCTGTTATTTTAGAGCAGAAACAGTAATGAACATATGGGCTTTCACTCTCAAGCAGCTGTAGTGTAGTTAAAGTTATAATAATTGTCTTTCTGTAAGATAAATTTACATTAAAAACCTGGCCAGTTAAAAATAAATGACTCAGCCTCAGAGCCTTCCAGAATAAAATTAAGACATTCAGAATCATCTATGACATATTACATTCAGAGATTTAGAGGACATCCTCTAAATGTTGTGCTTTTATATTTAAGGTTAAACAAATATAATTTATGGTGCATTAATCAGTTTAAATAATCAGGAAATCTACAACTCACATTTTGTCTTTCTTACTCAAAATGCTAGCAGCTTCAAAAAACGGTATTCCTACATAAAAATCAGTAACTAAGGTTGTAAAAGCTGGGAATATACCCTTGCTACTTCTTTGTATTTTTTCTATTGATTTTTTACAGAGAGGAAGGGAGAGGGATAGTTAGAAACATCAATGAGAAAGAAACATTGACCAGCTGCCTCCTGCACACCCCCTCCTGGGGATGTGCCCGCAACCAAGGTACATGCCCTTGACCGGAATCGAACCTGGGACCTTTCAGTCCCCAAGCTGACGCTCTATCCACTGAGCCAAACCAGTTTCGGATACCCCTGATACTTCTGTGAATCACTGAACTTCAATCTAAAGCCTCATCTATCCTATATAATAAAAGGGTAATATGCAAATTGACTGAACAATGGAACAACCGGTCACTATGACCACCAGGTGGCAGATGCTTAACACAGGCGCTGCCAACTGGTGGTCAGTGCACTCCCACAGGGGGAGCGCCACTCAGCAAGAACCTGAGCTCACAGCTGGTGAGCGCAGTGGTGTTGATGGAAGACTGGCAGGGAGCAGGCCTAAGCTGTCAGTTGGACATTCCCCAAGGGCTCTTGAGCTGTGAAAGGGTACAGGCCAGGCTGAGGGAACTCCCTTCCCCAGTGCACGATTGCTGTGCACTGGATCTCTAGTCCTATATACAATAAAGAGGTAATATGCTAATAGACCATTACTCCAACACACAAGATGGCTGCCCCCATGTGATCAGAAATAGCCACCTCCATGTGGACACAAGATAGCCATCACAAGATGGTCTACAGGGGAGGGAAGATAAGGGCGACCAGGCCTGCAAGGGAGGACAGATATGGGCGACCAGGCTGGCAAAGGAAGGCAGTTGGGGGTGACCAGGGCTGCAGGGGAGGGCAGATAGGGCCAATTGACCAGCAGGGAAGCAGTTAGGCATTGATCAGGCTGGCAGGGGAGTGGTTAGGAGTTGATCAGGCTGGCAGGCAGAAGTGGTTAGGGGCAATCAGGCAGGCAGGCAGGCGAGCAGTTGGGAGCCAGCAGTCCTGGATTGTGAGAGGGGCAATCAGTTGGACATCCCTCGAGGTGTCTCAATTTGGAGAGGGTGCAGGCTGGGCTGAGGGACACCTCCTCCGCCCCCGCCCAGTGCACGAATTTCGTCCACCAGGCCTCTAGTATATATATAAAAGCCTAAGTGACCTGCTGACCTGTCCAACTGGCCGGGAGCTATGATGCACACTGATCACCAGGGGGCAGAAGCTCAATGTAGGAGCTGAAACCACAGGCATGGAAACATAGAACAGACTGGTGAATCTCAGAAGGAAAGGGGGAATTGGAGAGGGTGGGAAGAGATTAACCAAATACCTTATATGCATAATAGAGGCCCAATGCATGATGGGTGCACTGGTGGGGTCCCTCAGCCTGGCCTTTGGGGATCGAGCTGAAACCAGATCTCTGACATCCCCGAGGGGTCCCGGATTGCAAGAGGGCACAGGCCAGGCTAAGTGACTTCCGTGCACTGGGCCTCTAGTTTATTATAAGAAACATTACAATACAATGGCATATAATCTTCCATTTAAACTATAAATCATTTATAATGAGTTAAAGTAAACTGAAAGGAATTCAGAGCAGATTCTAATCCTCACATTATACAAAGTAAGAATTTTACTTACCTTTATCAGGGTGATTCAAAATCATGATTCTCCTGTGAGCTGTTCTAATCTTGGCCTTGCCAGCAGATGGACTGTAAAGAGAAATTAAAGTGCTTATAAGAAATGGTGTCAAATTATAAATTAACAGTTTATATGGATTTCAAGAAATTAAAAAGTAATGAGGATTTCACCATCTTGTGGATAAATATGAAATTACAGCCCATCACTTAATTCCAATAACTACCTGATTCAATGCTGCATGTATTTTTCTTCAGTCCTTTGTAATATCAGTCATTATTATCAACTCATTTAAAAAATAAAACAATATAGACTATACTGAAAGTTTGAAAATGCATGCTTCAAATTATTTGGGAGAAAGGCAGTATATACACTGAGTGGCCAGATTATTATAATCTCTGAATGCATAATAATCTGGCCACTTAGTGTAGAGTATAAAAGAAAGGTATTTGGACTCCAGAGCTACTAGACGGCTGGATGGTAATCCCATTGCCATTTGGAATGGGTTAACCTTGGCCAATTTGTTAACTCACTGTGCTTCAGTTTCTTCATTGTAAAACAAAGGAAAAACATATTCCTAGTAGAGCAACTGTAAGGATTAGTTAATGCCAATAAAGTGCTAAAATGGTGCCTGCTGTGTAACAGGTGTCCCATAATAGTTTGCTTTATTATTATGCTTCAACAGAGCATCTCAAAACAAGTCATAGCTCAAAATTTATTTAACTGTCTGAGAACTCTATGGGAAAAGCTTGGCTGCCAGAATCTATGCTCTAAACAATAATTAAAGAAAGTTAAATAAACCTAAAACTATTTTGGTAACATCTAATTTATCTAGAATTAGCAATGTTTCTTATTAGTACATTTTTTAAACAAGAAAAAAAAAATAAGAACAAGAACAACAAAATCCTAGTATTGCTACTTAGATCTTATCTAAGGTACTCAAATAATCTGGGTCTCAAATGAGAATAATAGTACCTGACAAAGTCCAGGCTGGATGTTGTTAAGCTCAAAGTAATTTAATTTGTATGGGTGATTCATGCTGATAAAAGCAGATACTTATAGAAATATTCAGAAAAATCTTCAAAATCCTGATTTCACCATTCATTGGTCATACAATTTGTTTTGTTTAGTTAATTTCCTCATGAATTACAATTTCCTCATATGGAAAAAGGAAATACTAAAATAATTTCCAGGATTACCTTAAGGGAAAATTAGATAATATAAGTAAAGAGATTAGTATGACTAGCATATAGTTAGTGTTCAGAGAACTGTAGTTATATGTCTGACCAGCCAGTACCTATGATGTGCATTGGCAATCCTATATAATAAAAGGCTAATATACAAATTGTTTACATGGGCAGGAGTTCAACCTAGTGGAAGTTGGACATGTGCTGCCCACCAGGGGGCAGTGGTGGCAGGCAGCCAAGGGGAAAGGAGGTCCCAGCTAGCATTCGGCAGCTTCTAGTGACCATACCCATGCACTAATTTTGTTTAAAAATAAATATTGACTCGCACATGCTTCATACATATAAAGCTCTTGTTGGTGCAATCGAATGCACGTTTTAACTTTATAATACTATATTATAATACTATTTTGGCATATAATTTTTCTGTAGTAATGTAATTACCACACAAATCTTTCTTCTAATTAATTTCTTTTCAATGTGCATGAATTTGTGCACTGGGTCACTAGTTATTAATATAAAGAATGCTAATGAATATATATATATATTTCCTACTTTGAAAATGGAGTATAAATAACCCAATTAAACATTTCTTAAATAACTCAAAAGCATTAGCATGACCATTATTTAGGTACAAAGAAAGAATTAAGATTGCTTGCCCTTCTACTAAATAGTTGTCCAATGCTATTCATTTAACTTCAATCTGTTTTGAATGAATGCTGACGCCCTTGCTGTCAGTTGTCAATCCATGATTCTACCACTGTTTCAATTCCTTGCCAGTTACTTGCTACTTCTAACCTCCTGGAGTTAAACAACAACTAACCAAGTATGTTAAAGTGTACTATCAGTTGCTAAATAAGCATTTAAAATATTCTTCTATAAATAACATAAATATGTCTTGAGTTAAAGAAAAAAATCAAAAGAGAAATAAAAAAATACTTTGAGGCCAATAAAAATGGAAGTCTAAAAGGAAAGTTTATAGCAATAAACTACTACATTAAGAGGAAAGAAAGAGTTCACATAAACCACCTAACTTTACACTTAAAAAAACTGTAAAAAAGGAACAAACTAAATCCAAAGTTAATTAAAGGAAGAAAAAAATAAAGGTCAGAAAGAAAATAAATGAAATGGAGAGTAATAAGACAACAAAAAAGAGCAGTAAAATTAAGAGCTGTTTTATTGAAAAGATAAACAAAATAGACAAACCATTAGCTAGACTCACCAAGAAAAAAAAAATCAAATAAATAAAATAAAAAACAGAAATACAAAGGATCAAAAGAGCCTACTATGAATAATTATATGCCAACAAACTGGACAACCTACGATATTTAGAAACTAACAACCTACCAAGACTAAATGATAAAGAAAGAGAAATTATGAATAGACCGAGTACTAGTAATGCAATTAAATTAATAAGAACCTCATAACAGGTTCAAGATCTGCAAATCAATTAACATGATATACCACATCAACAAAATAAATCATAAAAATAATATGATCATGTCAATAGATACAGAAAAAAATATCTGACATAACACAGCATCAACTTATAATAAAAAATTCTTAGCAAAGTGAGAATAGAGAGAACATACCTCAACATAAAGAAGCCATATAAGACAAACCCACAGTTAATATCATACTCAATGGAGAAAAGCTAAAAGTGCTTTCCTTAGGATCAGGAACAGACAACGCTGTCCACTTTCACCACTTTTATTTAAGATACTAGTGCCCCAGTGCACGGATTCATGCACATTGAAAGGAAATTAATTAGGTAGCTGGCAGAGTGTAACTGGGCGAGATGGGCCAAACCCTGCGGTACCTCCCTGGCCAGCTGCATTTGGGGCAGCGCCTCGGCTTGAATATCATATGCAGATGGGAATATCATTAGCAGGTGGGGTCTCTTGGCCTGGCCTGCAGGGATCAAGAAAACTGGCTCTCCGACATCCCCAGAGGGGTTCCGGATTGCTGAGGGCAGTTCTCAGATGACACACCCTGGAATAAGGCTCCTTCCTCTCTGGTTCAGGGTGCAACACCCAAAAACTGCTGCTTCCAAGTCATTTCAGCTTGGCTGCTCCTGCGTTAAGCGTCCACCCCCTGGTGGTCAGTGTGCGTTATATATATATATATATATATATATATATATATATATATATATATATGTATATTTATATGAAGTATTGGAAGCCCTAGCCACAGCAATTAAATAAGAAAAAGAAATAAAAGGGATCATAATTGGAAATAAATAAAAATGTAATTATTTGCAGTTGACATAATACAATATATAGAGAATCCTACAGATTCCACCAAAAAGCAATTATAGCCCCCAAAAATTAATTCAATAGAGCAGCAGAATAGAAAATTAATATTAAAAAATAGGTTTCATTTATATACATGAACTATATATTAACCTATCAGAAAGAGAAATTAAAAAAAACAATCCATTTATAATTACATCAAAAAATAAAATACCTAGTAATAAATTTAACCAGAGATATAAAATACCTGGAATACTTGGAAAATTATAAGACATTGAAGATACAAATAAATGAAATTACATACCATACTAATAACACTCGAGAGTGGGCGACCATTGTACAGGAACACATGTGGGGCAGGGAACATAGTCTATTTAGGCTCTCTTCCAATTCCTCATTAGCTGAGTACTATTTAGTCACCTATTTCCTAATAGGTTGCCTAGGTTTTGCTGTCTTCCATTGGTTATTGAAAATATGGGCTGGGGCCTTTTCTAGTTGCCTCCACTTCCCTTTGTCTAGGGCAGTGGTCGGCAAACTCATTAGTCAACAGAGACAAATATCAATAGTACAACGATTAAAATTTCCTTTGAGAGCCAAATTTTTTAAACTTAAACTTCTTCTAACGTCATTTCTTCAAAATAGACTCGCCCAGGCCGTGGTATTTTGTGGAAGAGCCACACTCAAGGGGCCAAAGGGCCGCATGTGGCTCACGAGTCGCAGTTTGCCGACCACGGGTCTAGGGGAATCTTCCCAGAACATGATAGCAATCAGCCAAAGTGTTCCTCTCCCCACCCCCACATACTATTTGCTCTGCAGAAATTCAGTAGCTGCCTGGCCACATGCTGTTTCTTTTCTATGAAAATAAATCAGAGGCATGTTTCTTACATTATGGATAGGAAAAATTAGCATTTTTTAAGTGCCCATACCAGCCAAAGCAATCTATAAATTCAATGTGATTTCTATTAAAACAGCAATGGCATTTTTCACCAAACCAGGACAAATACTAAAATTTACACGGAATAACAAAAGACCCTGAACAGCCACAGCAATCTTGAGAAATAAAAACAAAGTTGAAGGTTTCACACTACCTGATATCAAACTATACTACAATATTCTAGTGTCCAAAATAGCATGGTATTGGCATAAAAACAGACATGTAGATCAGTGGAACAGAATATAGAGCTCAGAAATAAACCCATGCTTATATGGTCAGTCTATAGATGACAAAGGAGGCAAGTGTATAAAATGGGGTAAAGACAGTCTATTGAATAAATGGTACTGGGAAATTGGACAGATACATAAAAAATGAAACTAGACCACCTTCTTAAACCTTATATAAGAATAAACTCAAAATGAATTAAAGACCTAAATGTAAGACCCCAAACCATAAAACTCCTAGAAGAAAACACAGGTAGTAAACAGGTAGAAAACACAGGCAATATCTAAGGGGGAAAATGACAGTCTTTGAAAGGTAAAGGCAAAAGAATAAAAATAGATTGCTGAAATGTGTTTGCAGCCGCCTTTGCTCTCCAAAGCCTGCACTGCCTCCAGCTTGCCGAGCTAAAGCCAAAGGAGAAGGGGGTAAGTAAAGAGGTCTCTGTACCATGGCTCATACCAAGCAGACTGCCCGCAAAT